GGGTGCCGTGTATTTGACACGAGCGATCGAGTATACGGTCCAAGCTGGACGGACCCGGCGTGTTTTGTTTGAATGGCTTTTTCCGCTGACCGGGTTTAGAGCCTTTGAATCCGGCATTGACTGCTGTATCCTCGGTATTTTCGCTGTTAATGCGGCGCTTATATTTGTTGCGACGTGACCTGCTATTGCCGTCCTTGGTATCCGGGGTACCATGGTTCTTTGATATGTTATTATTGCGAGCCAGCCAGCTGTCTTCTCCCGCACAAAAGTGGGTCATGAGCGTCGTGAGAGCTGCCATAGATTTCAGCTTTTCCTGACCAAGGTGCCGGGCTAGCCACTCGTCTCGGATGTTATGTTTGAAAGCCGCTAAGGCCTCTGCATCCGGACAGTCAACGATCTAATTTTTCTTTGTAAGGAACCGAGTCCAGAATTGCCTGTCCGACTCTTCTGGCTGCTGAATTATGCGGCTCAAGTCATCGGCATCTGGTGGGCGCACATAAGTGCCCTGAAAGTTGTCGAGGAATGAGGCTTCCAGATCTTCCCAACAGCTAATGGAGTCCGCTGGCAAGCTGTTAAGCCAATGCCGCGCTGGTCCTTTGAGCTTTAGTGGGAGGTATTTAATGGCATGTAAGTCATCACCGCGGGCCATGTGTATGTGGAGGAGGAAATCCTTGATCCATACTGCGGGATCTGTTCTGCCGTCATATGATTCAATATTTACAGGTTTGAAACCTTCTGGGAATTGATGTTCCATTACTTCGTCTGTGAAGAATAAGGGGTGTGTGGCGCCTCTGTATTGGGCTATATCGCAACGCAGCTCGAAAGGGTCTTGCCCGCTGTGTTCGGCCCGACCGGATTTGCTTTTGCTATATCCGGCGTGACGTTTATCGTCTTGCAGAGTAGTGCGCCCTCGTGATCCGTAGATCGATCTTGCATGCTTTGCTTTGTCCTCCAATATGTCTCGCAGGTCTGGCGTATCTCCCCATGCCTTTTTATTTGAATGGCGTCGGGGTGGAGGCTGAGCTTTTGGCTGGAATGCCTCTCTATCGCGGCCACGAGGTGGCCGATCAGCCGTATCATACGCTTCTTCCTCCAGTCGGGGTAGTAACCTGCACTCTGGGTAATTCTTAGAGGGGTGCTCGAGTTTATATTCCTCGGCCACGAGGACTTCAGTCCATCTGTCAGCTAGCAGATCTTGATCAGCTTGAAGCTGCTGCTGCTTTTTCTTCAGGCTATTTGCCGTGGCCATAAGCCGGCGCTTGAAGCGCTCTTGTTCGACGGGATCCTCTAGTACGGCGAATTCATTGTCGCCGAGGCTTGCCTCGTCTTCGGAGGGGGGCATGTAATTGTCATCCTCCTCCTCTTCGTCTGCCGCTCTCTCAGGAGAGCTGGCTCCTTCATCCTCCTGCTCTAAATCTTGCTGGAGGGGATTGTTGTTGTCTTCGGCACTATCCGGAGTGTTATTATCTCCTGTGCCGGTATCACCACTTTTGCTTTGGCGGGACCTAGAGCGGCGCCGCTGACGTCGGCGCTTGGGTTGCTTCTTGGAGGGGTCATCCTCCACTATCTCATCGCCATTACCTTCTTTGGGTGTATCCACCATGTATATGTCATATGATGAGGTGGCTTTCCAGTGCCCTATAGACGCTGGTTCATGTTCGTCTCCTACATCGTCGTCCATACCGTCGATGTCTTCGGAGTCGAAGTCGAGCATGCCGGTTAAATCATCGACAGTGGCTACGAAGTGGGTGGTGGGTGGGCGTCGAATTTCTTCGTCATCCGTATCCCAATCCCGTTGGCCATAATCCGGACAGGGCTCTCCTGACAAAGAGCGAGCCCTTAGTGAATTCAGAATGTCGCAGAAGAGCGAGTGCTGAAAGATATCCGCGGCGGTGAATTCCATGATCGGCGCCCAATCGGATTCGATTGGAAGGGGCGCGGACGGTTCGGAGTCCGAAAAAGAGTCCGGCACCTTGGAGTCATGGGCTGCGCAGGGGATTAGGCTAGTGTCCGGCTCGATCGCCGTTGAGACTGCAGCCCCTGAGGCGGTGTCTAGCCACCCGTCCTCGATTGGGCAGTTGGCTCTGAGCTAAGGGTCGGAGATGATGTGGGCGCGGCCTCTGGGGTACTGTTCGGCGGCAGAGCTAGGTCATACCCGTCATGACAGTACGGCGCGCCCGACTGTGGCTCGAATCCGTCGAAGATCAAGTCTCCGCGGATATCGGCCGTGTAGTTCAAACTTCCAAATCTGACCTGATGGCCAGGGGCGTAGCTTTCAATCTGCTCCAGATGGCCAAGCGAATTAGCCCGCAGTGCAAAGCCGCCGAATACGAAGATCTGTTCGGGGAGAAAAGTCTCGCCCTGGACCGCATCGCTATCGATGATAGTAGGAGCCATCAAGCCTAACAGCGATGACACAGAGTAACTCTCAATGAAAGCACCAATGTCGGTGTCAAAACCGGCGGATCTCGGGTAAGGGGTCCCGAACTGTGCGTCTAGGCCGGATGGTAACAGGAGGCAGGGTAGGAGCCATCAAGCCTAACGGCGACGACACAGAGGAACTCTCAATGAAAGCACCAATGTCGGTGTCAAAACCGGCGGATCTCGGGTAGGGGGTCCCAAACTGTGCGTCCAGGCCAGATGGTAACAGGAGGCAGGGGACACGATGTTTACCCAGGTTCGGGCCCTCTTGATGAAGGTAAAACCCTACGTCCTGCTTGATTAATATTGATGATATAGGTAGTACAAGAGTAGATCTACCACGAGATCAGAGAGGCTAAACCCTAGAAGCTAGCCTATGGTATGATTGTATGTTGTGGTTGTTGTCCTACGGACTAATACCCTTCGGTTTATATAAACACCGGAGAGGGTTATGGTTACACAAGGCCGGTTACAAAGGAGGAGATATCCATATCCTTATTGCCTAGCTTGCCTTCCACGCCAAGTAGAGTCCCATCCGGACACGAGACGAAGTCTTCAATCTTGTATCTTCATAGTCCAACAGTCTGGCCAAAGGATATAGTCCGGCTGTCCGGGACCCCCTAATCCAGGACTCCCTCAACGACCGTTGCGTTGCTTCTCTTCTCGCTCTTATTTGCGTATGTTAGCCACCATATATGCTTAGTGCTTGCTGCAGCTCCACCTCATTACCTTATCCTACCCATAAGCTTAAATAGTCTTGATCTCGCGGGTGTGAGATTGCTGAGTCCTCGTGACTCACGGATACTTCCAAACAGTTGTAGGTGCCGATGATACCAGTGCAGGTGACGCAACCGAGCTCAAGTGGGAGCTTGATGAAGGTCTTGATCGTGGTTTCGTGTCTTTTCCGGTTGATGAGTAGTGGTGCCCAGTTGGGACGATCGGGGATCTAGCATTTGGGGTTGTCTTCCTTTATTTTGGGTTCTGTAGTCGGACCTTGTTTGTACTTTGGATGATGTATGAATTATTTATGTATTGTGTGAAGTGGCGATTGTAAGCCAACTCTTTATCCCTTTCTTATTCAGTAAATGGGATTGTGTGAAGATTACCCCTCTTGCGACTAAATCACCATACGATTATGCCTCTAAGTCGTGCCTCGATACGTGGGAGATATAGCCGCATCGTGGGTGTTACAAGTGTGGTAACTTGTTTAGAAACTTCATGTGTGGTAACTTGTTACAAGGTAGTAAGATTTCAGCTTTTGTAAGCCACACAGTACTATCGACCACTCTATGTGAAAATCTGAATTAATAGCTATGCGGATACTTTTGGTGTGACGAGTAAAGCCGCACCTACTAGTTATATTTGTATATGTTTCCTCTTTATAAATACTAAGATGTGAGTAGTGACATGACGCTGTAGCCTGGCAAACAAATATAGATTGGTTCCTTATTTGCTTGTCCAACTTCATATATTTAAGTAAAGGAAAGTCGGTCGCAATTGCTATTCTGAAGTGATTATGCTTCAGGAATGAGCGGCATTGGGAAAAATAATTCAAGTGGCGACGCAGAACTCAGTGCACAAATTGAAACAATAGCTACCCCGAATATTTCTGGTACAAGGAGTATATACTCTACGCGTACTAGTTCATCAGGATAGCCTTGTCTTCTTTACATACGATAAAGATTTGAGGGCTGACATCAATGGCGGAACTAGTTCCTAGCGACCAGGCACCTGCCTGGGCTGTCCGCTTCCGCAGGTTTGAGCAACGTCTCTGGCGGCAAGCACATCCTGCGTGAACAGTAGTCAAGCCAAGATCATGCACACGCCAACCATGGTTCTGAAAGCCATGGAACGATTGATGAATGCAGTGCCAAGATCTTACCATGCTGCTGTGTAGCAGGAGCAGGTCAATGTAGTCTAGACCAATCAGAGAACCATGCACGAAAACGATAGAAATGTCTGTCAAATTTATCCATGGAGAAATGAGAATGCTTAGGCTGGTGGAGATGAGAATGCTTAGGTTGGATCTCCACCAGTATTGTGCAAAGTTGATCACATCAGCTAATTTTTCCAGCAGACTGCAAAGTTTATCATATCACTGTTGTTCCAGCAGGTCTTTCAAAGTCAAGGTTCCAGTTCCACCATTGCTGGTCTAGTGTCTACTATCACCTGACCAATAGGAGGTTAATTAGTCCAAGAATTCAAGGTAAGACAACTCAGGCAGGCATTGTTTTCTTTTACAGTAAGGCACCTCAGTCAGACATTGTTGATGCCGAAAGCTAATTTGGACTCCGAAACAGCCGGAAGAAAACAATTGAACAACCGTAAGAAAATATAGGTATGGCTAGGAAGCATCTGGGGCGGCATTACAAAGACAAGGTCCAAGCCAATTGTACAAAATCCATCGGATCGACAACGCGTGTGAGTTACCTACTTCTACTTAATTACAAGATCCTTTGATCCTCAGGCGTGACAGATTGCTAGTGCATCACGCTCAGGATCTTGTTCGCCGCACTGGTGTGGTCTGTGTTGAGAGTTTTACACTTGATGTCGACGAACAGGTATGCAGGTAGTTTGCCTCAGCTTCTGCTTGCTCCACCTCGGTCTGTGTGGATTGCATGCAGATGTGGATGTGGATCCAGGGTCGACAAAACCTGGGGCATTGACATACCACCAGACACAACGATCTCTGCCAAACGGCGCAGAAATATGTCAGCGCCTTTTCACATGTTTTGGAGCAGATTAACAGACAAGACACCGAGAGGATAGAGTTTAGGAGTTACCAATGCCTTCACGCACAGAAAGATTAGGCCTTATCACATCCTTTGAGTTCACCATGAAGATATCACCAATGTAGAGATGGTTGGTCGGCACATAGACACAGTAAAGGTCCTCTTGACCAGAATAGCTCTGTTATGACGTAATGAAGGGATATTACACATTCAGATGAGTCAAAGCTATACCTTAAATCAGAGCAAACAATAGAATGGTTTGCAAAAAAACAACATTTATCATCATTTTGAGCATTCTATAAGTATTCATTTCCATCCTTTACAAGGTGAGTTAGTCAAATTTTGTGGTAAAACTGAATTTCAACATTCCACCATGAAAGTGTTCATACCGATCATAGGATAACATAACTGCATACTGAGCATAAAGAAAAATCATGAAAAATAGGTGTAAGCTAATCATCATTGGGAACTCAGTATAATAGTGAAGACCTGGAGCGAGACTGATGAAGTAATGAATCCAAATGCATATTCCCCAATACGAGGATGTCGTATGATGACTGCCTCCTTGAATGCCTGTTTGTTTTGATCTGTAAAAAGAAACAAAAATTTAGCTCATAAGCTACTCTGCAGATTGAATATTTTGATAACTGCGAATTTACCTGGCGATATAGCGGCACTAATTTGCTTAGATGCATTGTAGATATGGCGCACAAGTGGCATGCGCTTAATGATCCATTCACCAATGCCAAGAACAGATGCTCCAACCCAAGATGACATGAAGACTCCAACGAAAAATATGAAAGTAACAGAAGTGATGAAACCAAGACCTGGGGATTCAAATGAGTACAGTGGGAAATAAGCTGGATAGGCAATAAGCATCCTCCTTAGCAATGAATAAGTTACAAAATAATAACTGATTTCAACGACCCAATTTCATGTCAAGTTTCTCAGATTTTGCAGACATTTAAGAATCTAACAACTCAATAAACTAGAACTTCAAATGATTATCAAACTATGCACCTAAGTTTTTAGGTTCCGCATACAAATTACAAATTATGCAGACTGTATAATACACAACACCACAAAGTAACATATAATATAATAATAACACTACAGGATCAAACCCCAAAGTCGAAACAGGATGAAGCCAGTCATTCATTGAAGAAACTACAGCATGACAGACAAACCATCCAAGAAATTCAGTATCAAAAGAAGCGGAATAATTTACATACCAAAAATGTTGATTCCCAATTGTGCATAGATTGGAGAGAAGAATCCATCAACAAAATGAATGAACCACCAGGTGAAGTAGAATGTTATCGCTATGGGGAAGAGAATCACACTGGCATTATCCCAGAAAAGAAAATCAAAACAGTATCAGTGTGTGCGTGAAAACAAAATGTTTATATAACATCATGGTAACATAATTTCAGACAGGTATTGAGTTTGTAGAATCTCCAGAAGCAGGACAGCTAGTAATGGTTGGTGTGCATATTCACTGGTTGTCGCAGGATAAGGATGCAACTTCGAGTATGGTTTATTAGGTTCAGCCAGTATTTCTAATGCCTGAATTGGTGTCTTCAAACCAATGCCAGACTTCACAAAAAGGAACAACAGATGTCTTGCTGGACAACCGAACTAGATAACAGCAGAGGAGCATAATTGTCCAAATGAAGTTAACTGAAAATACTTGGATTTCCAAAAATCCCTGTTAATTGTGGCTTACGGGTTGGCAACTGGGGAAAATATGGTAACACATCTCCTCTGGGTTCATGCCTCCCATTCTAGTTGTTGACTAATACATAATGATGCACCAAATATGACCTATTTGATATTCCCTTGATCTCTTATGCTGATTCTTTTCAAAGAAAGAGATAAGACCCAGAACCAGAGTAGATATCACACTGAGACACTGTCCATACTATTTAGCTATGCTCCTGGCAACCTTATGAAAAAATCTGCCTAAATTATTTCCGAATCAATAGTCACTGAAATTGAATGCTGGCAAGATCATACAGCTCTACCATCCGTTTAACATGACTTTTTTTTGTGGGATTTATCTTAGTAGAATGACTTACCATCCAGTCATGAATTTCTTTGAGGCCCAGCTGCGGACCACCTTATGGAAAGCCTGTATTGCCGAAAAGAGAAAGAGAAAAGGTTCAACATTAAGTTGTTCTAACCTCAGAAATACAAGCAAAGCTACCAAAGATCAAGGGCATACATCGTGTGCAAGGCAAGTATCAAAAAGGAAAAGCATGAATGAACAAGAATAAAGAACATCAGCAATCTACTTTCATCTTTGTCAGGTAATGATTGGTCCGATTTTCCTGTCAGCGCAGCAAGCACCCTAGGCAGATTAACAATCACTCAAGGTTCTAACACAAGAAAGCATTTATGCACTGTATGTTTGCCTTCTGTATGGAGATTGTAACATTATAACATCATAATATGTTCCTCCAAGGGAGTTAAATAAAGCAATTTCTCCTCAAATTCATCGCTAAGAAGATATAAATATTAGCCTCAAATTGCACCAAAAGAGTGATCGAGCTCATCACCAATTTGACGACTCAATCCAATAGTTAGCCTCAGCACAACAAACACTCACCAAGGGTGGACATCCCTAGTCCTACGAACTTGCAGCGTTTAACATAAACAGTCATTTCGAACCTACTTTCCGCACAATCAACAAATCCGACGACAATAAGATGTGAGCCGCCAGAGGAATACCAACACAGACCGTGGACTGATTCCAACAGCCAGGCCACAGACCCGGAGCCGCAGTCGGACGACAGGGTAAACCCTAGGGGAACGAACGAGGCGTGAAGGGAAGGGGGGCGAACCTCGCGGCCGGTGGAGGAGAGCGCGGCGGAGGCGGAGGGGGAGGCGGCGGTCCTGTCCAGGTCGTCGTCGTCGCCCCCGGCGCGGGGGACCGAGCCTCCCCCGCCGCCGCCGGAGACGGGGATGAGGAGCTCCCGGTCGCGGTCGCGGCCGCCCATCGGGCTGAGGCTCCGCGGGGCCTTGTCGTCGCCCATCATCGGGGGCTCGGGCTCGGCGCGCGGTGGCCGGCGCGGGTCGTCGCGACCGATCGCCGTGGAATGGGGTGCGTGCCGGGTGCGGCAGGGAGGGGAGAGGAGACGCTCCTTTTTTTCTTCTTCTTCTTCTTCTTCTTTTTCGCGTCTGCTTCTCGTTCGTTTTCGCGTGTCCTTTTCGTCGCGTTTAATTCCGTTAGCGGCCGTGAGCTGGCGAGCCGATCGCCGGCCCACCGTGGATTGGGCCACCGGGGCCCTCCGGCTGTACGTGGGAGATGAGGTGGCAGTTTGGATTCTCCCTACAAAAAAAGTGGCATAGTATAGAACCTTCTTATCTGCAAAGGGATTTGTTCTTATCTCCGGGGGGCATCTGATCTCGGTTAAGAAAAAAAATACATTTGTCCTTGGTACAATTCCTTTTTCTTTTTGCCCAAAATGTTCTTACTACAATTCTTACAATGAGAAATGTTGACATATTTGGAGGGGACGAGTGCAAGCAAGGCATTCTCGGCGATGTTCACTAATTTGTTCGAAAGATAATAAGGCCATGTAAAATGGAGGCAGCACCATGGTGCTGCCCCAGGCCATCCACATCAGCGCATGGAACTGAGACTACCGTGCAGCTTCATATCTATCCAACGCGTATGTGCCCTTGTGACGTGAGCTGTTTCCCTTTTTGCCCATGCTTTACATTTGCTATCTCTTCCTGTCGTCCTATCTCTCTCTTCCCTTTTTGCTTTTTTCCATGCAGAGACCGCCTCCTGACACCTGCGGAGCAGCCGTTTGAGTAGCCACGGTGGCGTCCGAGCCTACATGGCCTCTGGAGCATCAGGCTGGGGCGACCCATTGGCCATGCCCTAAGACCCATAATAAGAAGAATACTTGTGTGGGAGGTGGGGTTGACGATTTTCTAGCTGTGCAATTCATGGTCCTTTCATCCCCTTTATCACGTACGAAAAAAAATATCTAAGATTTAATGAGCATGAGTGGCTACTCCCAAGCCATGAGGAGATCTCATGTGTTGACCGATAAGTTTGAAGAAGTTCATGCTATGATCATCATGCTTATTTGGAGAATCCAAGATATTCATATTGACTTGGTTCACGGTAAAACCATGTCCACCGGCTAAGGTTACAAGGACTTATTTATATGGTTACTTGCGAGATTGTTCCAAATTTGACAATGGGGAGTTGAGAAGGTGATAAAACAAAAGCAATCGATCATCTGTTGTCGTCCCAGTTTGGTTACGCAAAAAGAATATTCTAAGACCTTGGTTGCACACTTGGTGAGTTGGATGATCCCTTTCGGTCGACAGTCTGTCGAGACGGATGGAGTTGTATGTACTTGGATGCTCCGTCGAGATCCCAATGAAGTGGTCATTTTTGCCGCATACACATACTTGTCTCACCACAACGATGTCTTGTAGTCTGAGACCAGTGCACTGCCTTTTGCAATGGTCTAAGTTGTCCATTGTGATATAACCCGATTGCATAGCTGATTTCAATATCATGTCATGCACTTCGCTTGATCGATCTATTTACAGTCACTTGATGGCTGAGATTAGGCGCACGTCTTATGTGTGCTTGTGAGTTTTTCCTCCTTCAAATTGAGCGTGATCAGAATATGGTTGCTCAGAGAGTGTTTGGTTGTTGCCCTGACAGGCAGCCGGCTGCTCAGGTAACAATCTCAGCCTCAGGCCTCCTAAAGTGGACGCCTGAGAGATCGCTACCTGTCCTAAATCGAACGCCTGAGCGATCGCTACCTGAGACAGGCAGCTTCTTCACGGAGGGAACCAAACAGGCCCTCAATGTCTAGCCAACTTATGGCAGATCGGGTGGTAGTTGCGCCATGTACTAGACTGTGTCTCATATATAGTATTAGTTGACTGTAATCCTATAGTTGATGAATAAAACTTGCTATTTTTCTACATAAACACAAGAGAAGCACAATACAAAATAGTTTTCCTAAGTCAATTGAGTTCTCATGAGTCCAGAACTGTTGGACTTTTATTAGTAAAAAACACAGATGGTGACTAAAACCTGCCGCGGATAAGACTACATACATATCACATAGGAGGCGAATGCCATGCGTATGATACTACAAAGAGATAATGTGAAGCCTAGTCTGAGCATGAGATTATGAAGAGATAGTGTGAAGCCTAATCGGAGCACCATGCATAGGACGCAACATCATCACGCTATGCGGCGTATGGGTGTATGACGGTGCGAGCTCAAACTCAAAGCGCTGAAGGATCATGCACAATGCCATCTTGGCCTCAAGCAACGCAAAGTTCTGGCCGATACAGATCCGTGGCCCCCAACCGAATGGGAAAAATGCGCCCGGGTCCTTGGACGCCTTGGAGATCCCCTCGGCAAACCTATCTGGGTTGAATTGGTGCACATCTTCTCCCCAAATGTCCGTGTCGTGGTGGATGTACAACACCGGCATCTCAAACATCACACCGGCTGGGTACGTGATGCCTCCAATCTCAATCTTCTTGTATGTTTTCCGGGTGAATGCAGTAGCCGGCGGGTACAACCGGAGAACTTCATATAGAATCATTGTCACCTGCACATCATGTTAATAAGACATTGTACCACTAGTTCTTTGTAGCAAATTAAGTAACTTCAAATTGGTACTCACAATTTTGAGCCGATTAACACCCTCATACCCGAGTTTGTGTTTTCCAAATAGGCCAAGAACCTCCTCCCTTGCACGGTCCTGCCACTCAGGGTGCATGCTAAGCACAATCATTGTCCATGTAAGCAATATTGATGTTGTCTCCATTCCAGCAAAATAAAACAGCTTGCACTCCTCCATGACTTCATCTGCTGACATTCCTAGGGTGGATTGGCCATTTTCATCCGTGTCTGTCATGTTAGACTCTAGTAATAAGCCGAGTAAGTCATCTTTCGTGCTTTCTCCTTCCTGAATAGCTTGCATCCTTTTAGCAATTATGCCCCGCAAGATGGACTCAATCTCGTTGTTAATTTGATGCATCCTTCGGTTATTTTTGGTAGGAAAGGACCTGAAAAATAAGGTTGTAAGGGAAAAGAATACCGCTCTGCTTAGGCAAATACTCCACCCGTCTTATAATATAAGAGCGTTTTGCAAGCTACATAACTTGCAAAACACTATTATATTGTTGGACGGAGGGAGTAGATTATAGTAGTTGTGTAAATTTTACTGTTAAATGATTGCAGTATTACTACTTTTCATTTCACATATTTTGGTACACAGAGTCTAATGAAGTGCTAATGAACTTCAATTAGTAGTACCAGTCTACCAGCAAAGTATTTAGAAAAGAAAAGAAGTAGCAACTCACATGTAACCGGGAATCATAATCTTGCTGACCGCTGCCATGAATCGCCCAATTTGCTCAGTCTGCAGCTGAAAAATCCTTCTCCCTTCCAGGTAACTGCTGCCGAATGCCGTCTGCGAGATGACATCTCCGGTGAGGCTCTGCAGCTCCGGGCAGACATCCACCTCCCAGGAGCCGTCAGGCCCAAGGGACCGTTCCCACCGGCCAACGAGCTCCTCACAGCACGCAGTAAACGCCGGCAACATGAGCTGAAAATTAACCAAGCTCAGCAGACCAGCCATGGATATCAAGAAGCACATAGACAGTGCGGAACAACAACGGCGTGAAGGTGAGCGAGACATACACACCTTGAGCTTCTCGGCATGGAAGGCGGGGTTGAGGATCCTCCGGTGCTTGGCCCACCTGTCGCCCTCGTAGTTCCCCACCCCGTCGGCGAGCAGCCTGGTGAGCGCCGGGAACTTGAACTTCTCGACGTCGCGGGCGAGCTTGCTGGACATCACCTCCCGGACCAGGGCAGGGTCGGTGATGCTCACCTTGGGGACGGGCCCGAACCAGGAGATGCACGGCGTGCCGTGCTCTTGGATGGTGCTGTAGAGGAACGGCATGGCGCGGGGGCCGACGTCGTGGCAGCGCGGCGGCATCGGCGGCCCCGACGACGCCTCCTTGGTCTGCCGGGCGTAGTCGTTGACGTCGCCGAGGAGGAAGCGGTACCGCGTGCCGCGGAGGCCCTGGGCGCGGAGCGCCCGCTCCAGCCGCCTCGGCCGCCACCACAGCTGGTCGAGCAGCCGGGCGGCTTGCCAGAGGAGCACGGCGGCCACGAGGCCGCCGCAGATCCATGACAGTACTGAGAGTGCAGCCGGACTACTCATCCACGGTCCTGGATCCATTACTCTTCCCCTCACTCCCGAGAGAAGCTAGTGGTGGGTGGAGTAGAAGAAAGGTGAAGTGCAGGACTGGATTGGTGATGTTTTTGGTCAGAATTCTGGATATATAGAGGTCTCACTGGGACAGTGAGGTCTCAAGTGTCCATTTGTTTAAGGTTTCTTGCACCACGGTTGATGGTGCGCCATGGCGATATGTCGGTCAAAGAAAGCCACAAATGTCAATGGCTTGGTTCCGAAGGAGTAAGGATCTTGGCAAATTCCATTTGGGATCTTGGTGGATAAATTAAAGGGGACGAAGGAGGATGGCCCCCCACGCACCATGCGGTTGCAGTTTCATGGCTGCTTCCTCCTGCTTGTGTGAGGTCAGAGCATACGACATACCTGGGGCTTGCACCGACCAGAAATTTTCAGTTCACAGTGTGTACAAGTGGCAATCGTCGAACAGTAAGATGGACACCTGCCGATAACTATCCACTAAGCAGCACAATGGGTGTACATTTCTAACCCAAGAAATGCACAAGTGGAGGAGCTGGTGGTTAAAATGTGAGCCTTTGGGCTTTAAAATGTGTAAACCACCGTGTTGCATGTTTCTATACATGAAACTTACACAGAAACATTTTTACGCAGTTTCAGGCTTCTAAATGTGCAAACTACCCATTTGCACATTTTAACCACCAAAAAGTTGTAAAAATCTAGGTTTCAAAGAATAAATTGCACAAATAAAATACTTTGTGTGTGTATTCATATCCATAGACACGAGAAACTAATAAAAAAAATACTAGAATACCTCGACTACCTAA